CACCCCCCCCCCCCCCCAGATCTCGTGTATCCCTATTGACGGGTGTGGGTAGGCCTGTCTGTCCACCGAGCCTCTTGCTTTCCATGCTATCCTCCATTCCCTGTGCCACAACTCGTGGGTCGGAACGGGAATACAGTCTTTGACTTCGTCATCGAAACTACCCAGAATACACACAACAACGACGATCGGAAACAACCTGCTCCCCGCACAGTTACTTGCCAGTCTCTGCTAGCCCCCCGCCCCAACTCACACACACACACATATCATCGCCTCCACGGTCTGACACGCAGCATACATTCTCACGCCACCGAGGCTCATTTTCCCTCCGCATCTCTTTTGACTCAAACCTCTCGCCAGATCACCCACCCAAAGCCACCTGTCCGTTTTTTCGAGTCATTTCTCGTTGATTCCGACGCGTATCCTGTGCGTTGCCATTTCCAAGCTCACTGAGCATTGTCGTGCCGTTCGCTTTCCAGCCGTCGACGCATTGCAGTTGACCAGTTTCGCCTGGCCACGGAGGAGCTGCTGCAGAGGTCTTAGCAGGCATTCACTTCGTGGTTACGATCAAGGCCGCCCCGCTCAGGCAGACATTGTCTTCCCAAGCCGAGCAATTGCTGCCGGCGCGCACAGGCCATCGCATCATGGCTGCCACATCGTCGGCTCCCAAGCCAGGCGCCGACTTGCAATCGCCGACCCTAACAATGACTGACGAGCACTTTTTCGGATCTTTGCCTCTAAAGATGCAGGGCAACTGGGCCCGCGCCTCGGGAGCCTCCGACCCATCCTCCTCCTATATCACTACGAGTCTCCCGGAGCTGCCCTTGATCAAGCCCCAAGACTCAGCCTCTGCGGGCGCAGTCCTAGATGCACCCACCATTGCTTGGTCCCATGCCATACCAGAACCTTTCAGTCCCAGCCTTGACATGGGCAACTGGTGTGGTCCTTTGTCTGCCACCCCCTTTGCCCCCGACCACAACGACGAGGCTGACAGCGACATGCTCATTCCCTATCACACGCCGACAACTGGCACCGACGTATCTGCCACCGGCACTACCCCAACAGAGGGGGGCGTTCTATTGCCGGGGTTGCCCCTTGAAGCCGTGGGCTTTGATGATTTTAATATGGATGATTCGCATGATGTATCAGACCTGGACTTTTTGACCAGCATGGCTGAGTCAGACGGACTTTCCCCCGAACAAACCCCGCTCGATCCGCCCCATTCCATCGTGGACACCAAGCAAGCAAATCAAAACGAGGCCACGGCCGCCAAGAAGCCCACCAAGCCTCGCCGCCGCCGTCGCCGCCCCGCCATTGGCGACCTACCACCAGAAAAGCAAGTTGCTCAAAGAGCAAGGGCACGCGCTGCCCTCCGACGCCGGCGAGCACGCCAGGTCGCGCAAGATGCCGTGCGCAATCATCTCTTGGCACGCGCCAATGAACGACAACGCGCCCTTCATCAAGAGCTCACGCGTCTCCATGGTCAGCGTCAAATTCTTTTGCAGTACATTATCGCCAAGCTGTCTGCGGCCTCACAACTACCGCTCAACACATCCATCAATGACATGGCCATCGCCACTGGCAACGACAAAGCCGAGAATAACATTCCCGAGATTCAGAGCGAAACTTCCACCACAACAAGTCCCAAACCCGGTCTTCTGTCACATGTTCATGAGGCCAAAGCACCAATCAACCCCAGCGCGCGTTTGCCCCTGAAGCAAGCGCTACCTGGCGGTGACATCGAGCTTACGACCGAGCTCAATTTTGCTGATCTCGAAGGCGCTAATCTAGACCAGGCCTGGAGCGCACCATAAGCCATCTGCATCGCGCTCAAGGGCTACTTGCTCCACAACCGCGGCCAAGTTGAGGCCCTTGACCTCTCCTGTGATATCACACCACAACATGGAAATGAGGACGCCGGCTTCTGAGTGAAATCGTGCGTTGCAAACTGTCAACTCCGCATAGCGGATGGGTCGGATGGTCTTTCTCTGTGCAGATAGAGGCGGGCTGCGCATAGTGTCCAAAACGTTGAAGGCCCGCTAAAATTATGCGTTCTTTGAGATCGTGGAGCTCCTTACCTTGCGAGTCTTTCATGTAAATATGAATGTAATCTGTACCGCGAATTCGCAGCGTGGCATCCTTTTCCTGGCGTGCATGACATTGATCCAGTCAGCATGAGTGAAGAGAGTTTTGCACCACTCCCACGTGCGCCCTTGTGCTCTGTTCGGGCAACGGTGCGTGTGCATGTATGTATTCCAATGTGTTTCTGCAGGCGTGTCTGCAGAAGACAAAAACCAGTGTGATTTATATCCTGATAGGCTTCTTTCCATCAGTCTGATATGGTGCGCGAGCCATATCGACTCTCCCCCTCCCTGTTATCCTTTTTGTTTTTGTCATTGCCTTGTGTCGGGCATGCTAGTTTCATTCAAGCTATACCATCCAGTCTCTGATTTGTGAGCAAAGAATCCAGCCTCTGTGCGCGCGCGCGCTTTCTCTCTCTCCCCCTCTCTCTTTTCGTATGCGCTGTCCACTCCATTCTTCATTGGAAAGGACCTTGACAAAAAAACACGCGGATGGCTTTGAGACTGACCGTAATATCTTCTGGTGCTGGCGGCTCAGTCACCCATCGCACTTCACCTCCGTCATGTAGCTTCAAGGGGTTCACCTTTAGCACTGTCAAAGCGGGGGCGTCTGCAAAGAAGCGATTGGCCACGGGTGCCACAGCGTGCGCCCGAGACATGTGTACGTAGCCGTCCTTGGCATCGAGGGCATTGCGAAGAAACCCGGGTGTGGTCGAGGTGGCTTCGTCCTCCTTGGTTGTCAGTTTGTAGACAAAGTGCGGTTGCATGCTTGCCGCTGCCATCTTGCTGCTGGCTGTACCTGTCCAGAGATTGCTGGCCCGCACAGCCGAACAGAACAGCACTGCATTGCCAAGGTTGATGAGTGGGACAAGACAGGGTCATTGGCGAGCGAGTGGAGACACGTGCGTCAAAATGGATGGCTGAGCAGAAGCTACAAGCCAAACGCCTTGTTTCATCTCCCTAGACATCTCAGACAAGACCTTCCCGGTCTTGCTGCCAATAGTCGAGGGCTTTACCGCGCACCATGAGCTGAGAGAGAGGAAAAAGAGAGAGAGAGAGAGAGAGAGGGAGAGAGAGAGAGAGAGAGAGAGAGAGAGAGAGAGAGAGAGAGAGAGAGAGAGAGAGAGAGAGAGAGAGAGAGAGAGAGAGAGAGAGAGAGAGAGAGAGAGAGAGAGAGAGAGAGAGAGAGAGAGAGAGAGAGAATTGGTTTGAGAAGAGAGAAGTAAAGAGCAAAGACACAAAGGAAAAGCACAACTACCACATGTAACAACAACACAGAGAGAGAGAGAGAGAGAGAGAGAGAGAGAGAGAGAGAGAGAGAGAGAGATGAATTGTTTTGTGAGAGAGGAGAGAGAGAGAGAGAGAGAGAGAGAGAATTGGTTTGAGAAGAGAGAAGTAAAGAGCAAAGACACAAAGGAAAAGCACAACTACCACATGTAACAACAACAGAGAGAGAGAGAGAGAGAGAGAGAGAGAGAGAGAGAGCGAGAGAGAGAGAGACGTATGTCGTGGTGGTGTATTTCGTCTGACATTGCGCGTTGCACCAGCGACAACTTTTTATTTTTTATTTTTTATTTTTTCGATTTTGGCAGCGCGACGGTCAGGGGGTTTGAAGGAAGGGCTATTCGACAGGTTGAAGACATGGTATGTCTGCGTTTGTGTTGATCTGCAGGGTGTTATCGCGTGTACGCAGAACCACGGAGACACGTGATGAGGGGTAGATTGATACTTTTTGCGCATGCAGACTGCCACTGTCGGCTCGCTTGCGCGGCGGCCTCCTCACCATCTCCTCTGGTCATGAGCGTGTAGGCTGCCAAAGGAGACAGCTATCCGAGCGCGCCCGGAGAAGCACCACCTGCCTATAGCAGCGGTACATTGTATCTCTTGAATTTGTGTTTTTCTTTTTCCTCGTTTGTTTGTGAGGCAGAGTGTACTCTTGCAGTTTTGGCCGTGTTCGTTTGTCGCGAGGTGCCGTGCTCGCTCTCGGCTCATCGAAGCGTGGTGATGTGATGTGTAGGCGCAGATGGCTCCCAATCCATCCCCACAGCCTACCCTGCCGGAATGCAGAGTCCACCTCCTCAGATGGGGTATCACAATCAACAGCCTTACCCTCAGCAGCAGCAGCCCTACCCGGGCCAACAACCACCCCATCCCATGAGTCCTGCCTCGCAAGGCTATGGTGCCCAGCCCTATGGCCAGCAGCCCTATGGCCAGCAGACCTATGGCCAGCAGCCCTATGGTCAGCAGCCACAACAGCCGTACCCAGTCCAGCAGCAGCCTGCGCAACAGGGATATGCACCGCAATCTTACCAACAACCCCACCAATCAGGTGCGCCGAGGGGGAGGTTTTGGTCTTCTCCTCTTTTTTCTTCATTCCCCTGCGCAGTTTGCCGTTTTGATTCGTACATCACGCTCGTGGCGTTTTCCTTCTTCTGGCTCATTGCCTTCCCTACAATGTCTTTCCTCCAATGTCTCAGGCCTGTCAAGTCAAGATCAAGCCACAGCAGCCCGACGGCAACGAGAGCGAGACCAGGACCGAAAGATCATGGGCTTGATCTGTGGTGGCTTTCTATGCTGCCTCTGTGTGGGCACTGATCGGGCCGCCAACATGGGCACAGCTTGCCTTGATCGCCTCCTCTGCATGGACGTTCACTGCTGGGGCTTTTAAACCAGTCTTTGTGTGGTCTTCCATGCGTTGCGTTCAATGCCCGGTGTTTGCACATCATGCCGTTCTCATCTTGACACATGTGTGCCTTCTTCTTGATGGCCGGGCCTTTGCATCTGTAGTTTCGTGTTGTCACAGCCGCCCTTGTTCGTTGTCAAGTTTCATATACCATTTGTCCTGGGGTGGTATGTAGATGTGTATGTGGGTGTGGCATTCTTCTGGTCCTTCACCAACCAATTCAACACCTTTTTATTTCAACAATCAAACCAGGTTCATGGCCCGGAATTCAGAATTTCGATTAGAATGATCCAAGCGAGTGTTCGGGCGTGTGAGCGAACGCACAGGATGATGGTCTTGAGAGTGGTTCCTTAAATACATGTCAAGGACCGTCCATAGACACGTTGGCAGACGCACTAGGGGCTTTCGGCCAGACCATCAGAAGCCACACAGGCTCAGGGCCTCTCATCGGTGATTTGAATAGATCGGGGCCAGATTAAAGTCCGTCGTGGGTTGATGGTGCAACATGCTGCGACAGATCTAGTCACAGTCCAAGCAGACCATCAAGGGCGTGGCGAATAAGGATTATGCGACCCGCCTTGCCACACAGGCCCGACTTTTAACGACAATGGGTGCTCGGGCACGTCGAACAGTAGCAATGCGCCTGGTGTCTGACCTGTACAAGTCGTTTTTGCGCCTCTGGTGCTTCGTGGTAGGGTGCATAAGTATCAAGACCATCCTGCTCGAAAGGAGGTGGGTGGCCACGTGCACATTGCAATCGTGAGCTTCTGATGCCAGCTTCAACCCCAGCTTGTCACACAGCATCACATCCCTTGTTCGAGTCATGAGCCTGCTCCGGTACTTTCCAATGACATTACCTGTAGCTTGAGCGTGAGCGTGTCGTAGTTTTCGCGCACAACTGTCAAAACATTTTCCGGCGACGGCGGAGCGCCACTGTGGAGCTGCGACCAAGCATCGATCTTAGGCGCAAAGTGTCCAATAATGGCACGAATGTTGATCAGGCTGGTAGCTAAACGCCCGGCCGCAGTAGCATAGGTGCCCGCAGTTCGGGAGTGGCGCTTGGCTAGCTCAAACAAGGTATCAAACGCGTTGCGCTCCCGAATCAGCTCATAGTACAGCTGATCATAGCTAAGCGGCCGATCGTTCACATGTTGCAATAAAAATAAAGAGTCAGGATTTCGAGCCGTCACAGGCTGCGAGCGAGAACTCAAGGCATCATGACAACGCAATAGCAAAACTTGGAAAGTGCAGAACAGAAACGCTCGGGTGCCTCACCTGTCGGGGTCTGGCAAAAACGTGTCGCCATAAGTGACAAAGAGGTTGTAAATGACCACCACTTGGCGGGCAAGGTCATACACGTCAAATTGCTCCTCAAGAGTGCTTGCGTGCTGCCAAGGCATGGTCGACCCAGCGCACGAGTTGCGCACACACAGATACACACAAGTGAGAGAGGGGTCACAGAGTCATGGAGGCGCGCATGCTGCTACATCGCATCGCCGCGCGTTGGATTGATAAATGTTCAAATTGCCCATCACCAAAACCTACAGCGACGATAAAACGTAGTAAGGCGGCAAGTGCATTCCATAGTTGTTGCCACTTGAAGTTGAGGCGAACGCGGCTGTGCTTCTCGAAGCAGAGCAAACGATGAATGATCTGTAGAGTCAAGCTGCGACCAAATGACAGAACATGACGGGTCGGTGAGCACCAGCAGGTTTGCACCTGTCACGACGACATGCGCAAGCGTACCCAAACTGCTCCACATTCAAACTTTTCTTCATGTGGCTCATGAGCAGTTCGATTGCCACGTCTACCAAGGAAAGCGCGTCGAGTTGAGCCGGCCACCCGGGAAAACAGCTCAACACGGAAGACCTGCTTCGGGATCGTTGCATATGCAATGGTGGCCACTTACCAAAGATCATCTTGGCCATGGCACCATCATCCAACTGCACGACTTGTGCGGTGCGGTGGCGCATACCCTGATATCCAACATGCACATTATTAGAGGAGAAACGGTGTTAAAGAAAGCCTCAAGCGGAATCAATCAACTTTGAAGAGATGCAAAAGAGGAACGCAATGTAACAATGGAAGACCGCCCCTTCTATGCCAAGGCAGAACAAGGCAAGCATGCCTTTGAACGAACCGATTGAAACATGAAGACAGGGACCTTGACGTTGGGATCGTGGTAAAAGCGGTTGCAGTTGTCTCGCTTTCGGAAGGAAAAAGATGCGGTTGTGGTCATGAGTGGGCGAGGTGCCACATCTCGAAGCAGAGCAGGAATGAACATGTCAAGGCGAAGCGCACCTCGCAAGAGATGGTGACGATTTGCAGTGCAAGTTGGGCATAGTGGTGTTGCTCCTCCGGGGCTGTATCTTGAATCATGAAGGATATGAACGTCAAGAGTGTGCCCACAAGATTGGTAGCTAGTTCAAGTGCAGTCGGGCAAAGCTTTCGTCGTGAGGATGGGGCGACATTTGGAAGCAGGGGCTTGCTTGCAGCGGCTGTTTTTGGGTCCTACCAGGGGTATCAATGCTGGCTTCACCATCTTCACCATGGGGGTCGGGGCGGCGCATTTGCTCGGCAAGCTCCGTGTGTGAGAGTACGGTGGCGGCTGCCTCCGAGTTGAGGACAACCAATTGGTAAAGCAGCAGCAGGCAGCACACGTGGACTGGTTTGGCATGCCTGTTTGTGGTTAATGCCACGGGCACAACAACGTTAGCTAACGTCGCACTCAAAGGGCTCCAGACATTGACATGCACCCGGAGTAGCTGCATGCTATGCCTTCAAGGAAGGAAGAGACGTACCGCACGGGAGGGTCGCTGACTGGTGTAAGAATATCTTTGAGTAGATTTCCAAAAGAGCTAAAGAGGCTGGTGGCAGCGGAAGGTGGGCTACCGCAGAGGGCAATCCACTTGCGATTGCGGCGGGAAAGCTGGTCCACCAGCACTTCACCAAGGCCATGCAACGTCACGGGTTCACTCAGGGCCCGGAGAGCTTCAGCGTAAGGGTTTTCGCCTTCCTGGCGTTGATACTCGATCATAAGCGCCAACACCTGGCAAGTGGTGGCGCCCAGAAAGGCACGAACTTCGGCCGACGTGAAGCTCTGCTCAGAAGAAGAGAGAAGGCACACAAAATGAATGCTCAAGCACAGAGGGTATATGTGTGGGTCGCAGGCGTGATGCGAAATCTGGGAACAGGCTGTCAGGCACTGTGGGTATACGCACTTGGAGCAGCTCGTGAGCCAAAGGCTCGCGCATCAGATATTGCAAAAAGGGGTTTTCGTGAACGTTTTCTGTGGCAGTGACCAGTACGAGCAGCACTTTCAGCGCCAAATCGTGCAGTAACATGGGTGCTTCAGCAACCATGTTGTACTTGAGGCCCTGAATGAGCTTCTGTGACAGAGCCAGGAGAAACCGGGCAGTCAGAATTGACCACGGCGAGAACGCTGTGATGCATGTCAGCAACGCGTGCGAGTGTTTCGCGGGTTTAAGGCTGGTTGGAAAACGCACGTGAACTTTGGAGTCGGCATCCTTGGCCCCAAAGAGGGTGGGAATGAGCTCAAGACCCTTCTGTGAAGCGCAAGGGGTGGGTGGACAAGGGATTGTTGGCAAGCAGGGGACGAATCGGCCATGATCAGTCTGTACGCTGCACACGCCAGGGCGAGGGGAGGGGGAAGAAACAGTGACTCGAGTGGCTTTTACCATGGTCAGATTCTTTTCGAGCATGCCTGTCAACAAGACGCCAAGAGTCTGTTGATCCATTGGCCAAGAGGACAAGCGGACGGGTGAGCGTAAAAAGATGGCAATCATCATCACGGGTCGGGTAACCTGTTTATCCCACGAGCGAGAGTCATTGTCGGCAGGGTAAAGACGTACACAAAAGGCATTGGCGATGCGAATTTCATTGCCGTCGGTGAGTTTGAGGATACATTTACTAATAAGCACCTGGACAATGGGCTGTGCGGTGGCATGGGAGGAAAGCAGGGGTGGGGCAGGGCCAAAGCGTGAAATCCTCACGTCAATGCAGAGGGGCGTGCGTGCGTCTAGCTTGAGGCCAGTGGGGAGACCAGCAGGATAAGGGCGGTGCAGTGGGAAGGGGTTGCGTACCACGACTTGAGGGGCTTGGTCAATATCCCACTCGTCCACGAGCGTGGCTAGACTGGTCGAGTTGACTTTGAGCAGGAAAAACTCATCCCAAAACTGGGGACGCTCGGCGCCTGGATTGCCACCGGTCCAAAGGGTGTGATAGATTTGGACAACTTTGGAAGGGGGCAGGTTACGCTCGTGGCCGACGCTAGTTTTGAGCAGGGCACTGGGAAGATCGCGTGTGGCCACGGCATCTAGAGCCGAGGCGTCGACTTCTCCAGATGGATCAACCCTGGGTGGAGCAGGAGCAGCCACGCCCGTGGCCACTGCTGGATCTGCCATGGCGTCGATATCTGACTGTGCAAGCACCCAAATAGGGAGAGGGCCCGAGGTTGACTGAGACCGAAGCGCTTAGCAAAGTGTCCCAAGCACGAGGCAGGTCAGACGCTGATGTCAATGCCCACCACGCAATCAAAAGCAAAAGGGGTCGATTTGGCTTTTGCTTTCGCCTCGCTGCTTGTCCAGATGGCAGAACCAGCTGCCCAGACCGGGATACAGAGGGGGTTTGAGAAGCAACACAAGGCAAAGTCGGCACTGCCAGCTGCAGCGGAGCACCCCCCACCAACTGTCGCGTCGCACTTTTTTTTTTTTTTTTGCTGTTTCTCCCCGTGCCTGAGCAAGCGTAGCGTACCAAATGTAAATGATGACAATTGTGGGGGTCAAGTTGTGAATGCGGCTACACCTTGACCGATGGAATGTCAGACGCTTCGGACTGGATGACGTGCACTCGAATTGTCTTTTTTTTTTTATTATTGAGCTGATGTCAGCATTTCGCTCGTGCGTTGTCGTGGGCAGCTGCTGTGTGATCGGTTGCACACAAGATTGAGCAAGCAAACCCTGGGCGAATGCTGATGTTGGGTGCCAAACGGCAGAACGTCGCGATCGACGGCGCCTGTCGTCGAGGCAAAAAACAAAACAAAAACCAACCCCGAAGAGAAAGTCAAGGATCCATTGCAATGCCCGCCACCATGGCGAATAGAAAAGCCGTAAGACACGAGTGTGTTCTGAGCCGAGGCGCTTTTACAAAAGAAGTCGGCTAGAAGTTGAATTCTTGGAAAGAGTGTGCCACGGTCTAATGTCGAAGAAATGGAAGCCCTTTGATGGATGCAGTGTGTTTGTATTTCGCGACCGAACACATTTTGCTCGGCTCATTCATTACCACGCCAGCTGCCGGCGTTCTTGGCTCGGCATCATAGACCCTGGTCAGGACACGATTGATCCACTCATGTGCTCGAGTGGCGGTGGGGCACGCATTTTGGTGTAGTGGGTGCCAAAAAAGCCAGCCAGCCGGGTTTGGCGGTGCGTCAAGTGGTGGCCACGGTGGCGATTATCATGCTTGGCTGTTCTTTCATGCTCTGGCGGCGGTCACCGGTCAATGGTGGGAGCATGTTGAGGCCCAAAGAAAGAAAAGCTGTCATGGCATTGTTAATGCTGAATTCTAATCCTCCCGGGGCACTCCTATGGGACCAATGTGCTAGAGGCTCGAGGACGGCGTGGTCGGCAATACTTCGGACGGGGTCGAAGGGGGGCGGGTCTGCTTTCGCGCTCACCTATTTCTCTGTGGTTGTTATTGCACTCTGTGAGCCTTGTGCCGAAGATGATGCATGGGATGGTCATGAGCTCGACGACACAAGGGGAGATGATGCTTTGACGACATCGGACCAACAGGGATTGAGACCAAAGTCGTACTCGCGTTGCTTCTGTTCAAGTTTCCTTTGACGTCTAACTTGTCCGCCCTCCTGCTCTTGGGGAACTTCGTGCCCTTGATGCTGCAGTCGCCGCATGATCACTCACCCCTTGTTGGTCAAAGCCATGGACGGCTTTCCCTACGATACCCCTCGAGTACGACTTGCCATTCGACCAAGTCTGTTTGTCTTCCCCTTCTCTTTCGGCTATGGTTGGCCAGGGGCAACCCCCAGCTCTGCCTGCCCTGCCCTACCCTACAGACAAACCGGCGCGGTGTGGTTGCCTCTGATGCCGGATCACTGGGTCCCACCTGTCAAAAAAAAAAAAAAACACCGTCATAACATTCACCTGCATGACTCGCTCAAGCGACACCATCTTCTGAGGGGCAGGCACACAACTCTTGCGGCCCCTCGTCGAAGCGCACGGATGATGAGTAGCGACCGAATCGAGTACGTTTTGCTTGCGAATGCGATCGTGCCTCCCCGACCAAACAAAACCAGTGTAAACGAATCAAAAACAAAAATCAGCCATCAAACAACAACAACAACAGCAAGAAGATCGGATGATGAAACATCCCCAAAGGTGTGCTCCTCTTCACTAAGCTTGACTGTTTTTTTTTACCCCCTGCGACAAAAGAAAAGGAAGAAAGAGAAGCAAAACCACACAAAAGGCGACACACTGTAACGTGCAGTGTATGTGTGTGTGTTTGCTGTCAAGTGTGTATGGTAGTGGCGTAGTGTGTTATGTGTGGGGTGGGGGTGGGGGTGGTTGGTTGGTTGGTCGTGGGTTGGTGCCGGTTTGTCTTTCACATCTCTCTCTCTCTCTTCTTCCCTTGTGTTTTGTGGGCAAAGTCACTTTTCCAACTCAGTGGGACTTTGCCCTCTCTGCTCTTTTGGTGTCTGTGTCTGTGTCTGTGTGTCTCTCTCTCTCTGTATGTATGTATCTGTGTGGTGTGTCTCTCTCTCGTTCGGCATCGCCTCCGTTCCCGTTCCGTTGGGTCCCCTTCCGCCTTGTCCCGGCTCTCTCCGGGCTGTCCCGCTGAGCCTTGTGCCAGTGTCCCCCTGTAGATTTTTGAGTTGAACAGGGATACACACTTGGATGTTGGGTTGACTGCACACACTCAACTCAACGAACCCTCCGCCTCCTCTTGCTTCTGCGCGCGCGCGCGCTCTGCCTCTCTTCCCCTCTCTGCCTCTCTCCCTCCCTCTCTCTCTCTCTTGCCCGACCCTTCTTCGTTCTTTCGGCGTTGGTCACCGGCACCCGGGCCTTGGGGGCAACCGGACCTTGTTGTCACGCGTCATCCCCATTGAACCGTTTTGACGGCGACAAGGAAAAAAAAAAGCCATCATTCCATCGTCAACCTCACTCCTCTTTTTCCGGGAGTTAGCTCGACGGGCCTTGATCAATCGATCCATCGTCCCCTCCTCTCCCAAAACATTCTCAATAGGTAAGACCACATCCCCTGCCACTCTGAAGGCTGCGCCGCGGCAACGATGGGTGCACATCTGGCTGCCACCCTCAACTAAAGACAGCCACCCCCACAAACCCCTCTTCGTCATCTGTTTTCTTGAGTTCGCTGGTCAACACCTTCCCTCTTCGCGTCACCCCACTGCCCCGACCCTCAAGGCCCTCGACCTTCCAATCTTTACTGACAAGGCTGTAATTTGCTCCACTCATTCAACCTTCTTCTTCCCTCATCTGCCCGCCCCTTCTACAGCCGTGTGCCATCTGCCTTCTGCCTCAACTTGTTGGTTTAAATCTCGCATCAACCCGTGATCTCCGCTGAACATGCCCTCGTCTTGACATATCCCACGCAGTACAAGCAGTCTGGTATGCCTGCGCTTCCTGGCTTCTCTTGTCTTCCATGCCATAGCGCTATACATACATTTGTCTCTTCCCGAGTTCTGTCTAGGTGCCGGGCTGATCTCTCATCCCCACACGCCTTCCCTTGCTGCCAGTAGTACTGGCGGAAGTTGGGGAGCACGCGCACAAGATCAGGTGTTGTTTTATTCCTGATTCTCGTGCCTTGATCTGGGACCCAATCCACATGCTGATTGATCGTCGCCCGAGCAAGCCGTCCATCGGCGCCGGGCTGCAGACGACGCACACCGCTGGCATGGGCTCCACGGAACCCCTTCCTGCAAGCTCCACCAGCCCCAAAGTACCGGCCATGGCCGCTGAAAGCAGGCACACACCCACCCCGTCCCTACCGGACAGCCACACCCTCTCTTCAAACGAATCGAGCCGCCACGGCAGCCGGCGCAACAGCATCGCCAACGAGCCTCGTACCCCTTCCCCTTCCCCCTCCCCGCGCCCACAGCCACCCCCCTTGGCTGGAGGCTCATCCTCCCGCCGAGGCTCAGCAGCCCGCCGCTCTTTCTCCCGCACCGGTCATCGACCCGGCCATCGCTCTCCCTTTAGTCCCCAACCCAGCACCCCCCAACCTGATTTGCACACCGGCTCTAGCGACGAGGACTCAACATTGGACGTCCTTCAATCCACTTCCCCGGCTTTGCCCGAGCACGAGCCCGTCGTTCGACACCGATCCAATTCTCGGCGCACCTCCAGCAGCCCAGCCAGTGCGCACACCGTGCGCCCTCCAGCCCTTTGCTACGATGAGCCCACCACTCTCAACGACGCGCGTATGTCAATCCTTGACCCAACCTTGCAAACACATGTGATTCTTTCCGCACCCCGCCCAGCCCCTGGTCACTCACTTTTTTTTTTCGGTGTCTGATTCCTCGTTTCCGTTGTCGTATACCAGGGGCCTCGACGGCATCTCCGTCAGATGAGTTGCATGAATACTTCAAATTCAGCCGAACACTTGGCGAGGGTGCCTTTGCCAAAGTCAAGCTGGCGACCCACGTTGAATCTCGTGCGTTTCATGGCTTTGGCCCCATCAATAAAGGAAAAACAAAAACAAAAGAATTTCGGTCGCACCTGCCCTGGGCTCATGGGCTTGCTCCGTTCCACATCATTCCTGCTGCAAACATGACCCGCTTCACTCACCACCGGTTGTGGATGGCGTGCTGTCACAGAAATCCGCGTTGCTGTCAAGATTATTGACAAGGCTGCCATCAAGGAAGACTATATTCGCAACAACCTCCATCGCGAAGGCAATCTTTTGAAAATCCTCGCTCACAAGCACATTGTCAACCTCTTCCAAATTATTGAAACTGGTACGTGTATATAAGTCACAAGGCGTGAGGGAAAAAAAAAGGATTTTTCTCAATGACAAGCGGAGTCTGCCAAGCCTGTTGTGCCTCACCACCACCTGTCGTTAACACTGTGCAGAGAATCAATATTGCCTCGTGACCGAGCTGGCCGAACGCGGTGAGATCTTGGAGTATATCGTCGCCCATGGTCCTTTGAACGAGAAGGAGGCTCGCAAATACATACGGCAGATGATTTCGGCTGTCGACTTTATGCATCAATCTAAAGTTGTGCATCGGTGCGTCTGCGCCGAACTTGCTGGGTACCGGATGCCTCAGCCACCTCACTCGGCTCGTTATGCATGTATGCCCATCTGCAGGGATTTGAAAGCTGAGAATTTGCTCTTGGATCATGACCTCAACCTCAAAATTGTTGACCTGGGTTTGGGCAATTCAATCGCTGACAAGGACTTCTTGCGCACACAGTGCGGAAGCCCCGCCTACTCAGCTCCCGAGCTTCTTGGCGGCAAAAAATATAACGAGAAAGTTGACATTTGGAGCATGTGCGTGCAGTTGCCTTGCTTTCACGCACACTGGGATGCATCGAACCATGGAGTCACTCACTTGTCTGCTCGTCGCAATTTGCAGTGGAGTAAATTTGTATGCCATGCTAACCGGCAAGCTGCCATTTCCAAGCCATAACGTCACAACTTTACATGCTCTTATTTTGGATCAAGCCTATGATGTTCCAGATCACTTTTCCCCTGGTTTGTGCGCTTTCGATGCCCGCACCGCGTCGATGCTGGTTGGACCACCGTACTTTGCCCGTCTTTTCTCAAGCCCGCGACACGTGTCGTAGAGCTCGTTGATTTACTGAGCCGCATCCTAACTGCCAAGCCGAAGGATCGAATCTGCATGTCCGATCTGCGAGCCCATCCATGGATTATTGCTGGTGCGTGCTTCTTCTTACGAGATGCGCTCGCACGTGTCTGCCTTGGTCTTGCTTGTTTTCTTCTTCTTCCGCCTCTCCTCTTCTGTTTTCTTGATATCTCTGTGGTTCACTGGCGCTATGAAGCTGTCTCAATACCAATGTCCTCTGATTTCTTTCACATTTTACTTTGATCAGGTGGTCCTATGAGCTCCGAGGTACTTGAGCCCCGCCGAGAGGCCAAGGACTTGGATGATGATGTGATCCACTACATGTGCAATGAGGTTTGTGCTTAAACCTGGTTATTGTCTGAAGGCTCCATCCTTTTATTCTAGATTTGCCGCGCTGGTCGCTCACTTTGACACTCATAATGTGTTTTTTTTTTCTCCTTTTTTTTTTCTTTTCCTCCCTCCAGCTGGCCTATACACGAGATGAAGTTGTGGAGGCCGTCTTGGACGAGCGCTTTGACAGCACACACGGCTGCTACAATATTTTGATGATTGAAAAGAGACGTGTTGGTCGGCCTGGCGCCCGCCGCGATGCGATCATGGCTCAACGCCAGCAGCGCATGCGGCGCAGCCAAACGGAAGGGCACTTGGCGCAGTCGCACTTGCATGAAGGTGTGATGCCTCGGCGTGGAAGTGACCGGGCCGCCGACCGTGGACCTCGGCGCATTCGTCGACTCTCGCTTTCTCAGCCGATCAATCTGGCCAAAGAGGACACTGTGCATCAGGCCGGCCAAGCTGGCAACGTGACTCAGACGACGACCCAAACAAGTCGATCCAGCGCACGGGGGCGTCATGACGTTGCGCCTCGAGCAGAATCACCTGGCTATCGCCGCAATTCTCTCTCCAGCCTCAATCACTTACGTCGCACCGCGACTACTAATGTGCCCACCGCCGGCCCCGTGAGTCGGCGTACGAGTGATTCAACAGTGGCCACAGCCACTTCGCCCAGCAGTGAGCATCAGAGTGGGGGTGACTCTCGCCATCAACGCCTGTCGGATATGCTGCATTCCACCTCGCCTCGGGTTCGTTCGGGCTCATTGACGATCAGCGCCCATCGACCCCGCCGCAACACCGGGACCTGGGCAGAACCTGCTTCCGCCCACAAACCGGCTGGGACGTCTTCCAACGGGCATGGTCACGGAACTGGTGGCGCCGAGCCGCTTCCCTCCATCATGCGGCCGCGCACGGACAGCTTGTCTCGTCTCTCCCGCCAGCCCTCCAGCCCCGTTTCGGCAGGAAACGTGGATTCTGAGCGCCCCCTTAAGGTCAATGCCATGCGTTATCCGTTGTCTCAGAAGATGGTGTCTGCCAAAGACCCACGAGAGATCTTTGGACAACTTTTGCGTGCATTGGAACATCTGGGGCTGGTAGCCCAGGCAATGCGTGACCCCATGTTAGCTGTTCGGGCCACCAAGAACGATTTGGTTCTAGAGGCTGAGGTGGTTAAAGTTCCACAGCTGTCGCTGCATGGCATTCACTTCAAGCGCTTACGTGGCGAGACGTACGAGCACCGCGAGATTTGCACACGCTTGATTGATTTGTTGGACATGTGAGGACCGCGCAACATGCACGAGGCTCTTCCTCACACGCACAGGCTCTCAATGCGTGGTGTCGCCCTTCCTGTTTGCGTGCTTTGTTTGTTTGTTTGTTTGTTTGTGGCTGGCATCCCTTTTCGGGCTTTGCCCAGTATCAGAAAGCGTGCATTGATTGATGCCCCTCCCGCCCCAATGGCCCTGATTTAGTCGACTTGTTTGTGTTTCTTGTTTTTGACCGTTGCCGTTGTGCCTCTTGGTTTCATTTTTCGCTAATAGCCGACCTTGTAATGGTACGCGCATGCCAGTTTTGTTGTTTCAAAGTTCGTGTGTCTGCAGCTCTTGTTCTACCAGTACTAACATTGGCTGGGCGGCTCTTTGCCGCCTATTCTACACATGCCCATACTCGGCCGCACTTGGCTCTATTATCCCCCGTTTTTTAAATCGAGCCCCTCTAACAAAGACAGTCCTGTCTGCTATCATTTGCACGTCTGAATCCATTTGCACATCTCACATCTCGCTCAAGTAGTGGGGAAAAAAAAAATCTGAATCACAGTCTTTCATTTTTCGTTTTTTTTCCAACAAGCACGTTTTTTTTTTTTTTTTTTTCCCTCGCCAAGTGCAACCTTCTCGCGCTGGCTAGTCCCAGCTCTTTCAAGCCCGGGCCACCGGCACAGAGCTGACGTGGCAGGATAGCATCAACGTAGAGCATTGCTCTGGCTCAAGGTTGCCTGAAGATCACCAAGCGATATGCTTGTGCTTCACTCAGAGCGTGGCCCTCCAGCGGAGCATTAGGTTCGGCTTGAGGCCCTTCAGGCTGCTCTCAACTGCATTGTTGCTCTGTGAGCGGCCAAACGAGACACCTGCGTGTGAAAAGGAGCTGTAGGGTAGCCCATTCTCCGCAGCGTGAAACAAAATGAGTATCGTGGTGGCACTAGGTCACTTTTGTGAGCAGCATGGACCACGCGTCGTGTATACCACGCAGTCTTTTCACTCGAGCCAGCCGGATGACATGCTGGAGGAGCAGGGCACTGGCTTGGAGATGACACCGGTGGTCGAGTATGCCACGCCCACACCTTTGGGCACGCCGGGTCCACCGGGTTTGATGTCAACCCCTCGTCGAACAATCGGGTCGGCCTCCACCGTAGTGCCCACCTCCGATCATAGTTGCTGTGCTGCATGCGGTTGGCGAGTCCACAGCCCTGGCTTCATCAGCTACGATCACGATGCTGCTGCCTCCTATGTCAGCCGGCACCACCCTACTCGGCCAGAGGTCTACAGCATTCTTCGACAGGCATGCCTTCGTGCTCTTTCATCCGAGGTGTGTGTGTGTGTGTGTGTGTGTGTGTGTGTGTGTGTGTGTGTGTGTGTGTGTGTGTGTGTGGGTGCCATCGCGTTTCCAGTCGCTGCGATGCCTCCACTGATCAGTGTTGAACCGCGGACCTTGATTAGGTGGTGCAAGATCGTCATGGTCCTCTCATCTTTGGTGACCAAGAGCACGGGTTTTGCTTCAGCTATAATTTCACAGTTGCTGATCCCGATGCGCGCGGCGGCCTACGTCAATACTGCTTTCTTCTTTTAATGAGCGACATTCTGCGACTGGTGGCTTCATGGCACTTTTTACGCCACCATCTCCAGATCCTCATACGGGACATGACTTCCAAGGTGCGCCATCGTCCAAGATATCTTCATACAACCCAAAGCTTTGGCCGTGTCCAGATTTCTCCAACCGATGGCTTTTGCCCCGTGATACGATGGGCTCTTTGGTTGCTTGTTTGCAGGCCGAGAGGTTGGCCCGATTGAAGCAAAACAGCTCCGTCACCTCGTGAGTGTTGCTTTTCTCTTCCTTATTTCACGTGAGCAAGGGAGATCAGTTGCTCCGGTTGGGCCAGCCATGTCTTGCGTGCTGCTGTACCCATGTCATCACTGAGCCACCCGGCTGGGGGAACCACTAGACCTCCATCGACGCCGACCCGGCATCAACACCGACGACGGGCGGCTGCCAAACCTTTGGCTGATCTCATCGAGCACGAAGCACTTGAAACAGACCTACACTCTTTTTTGGCCTGGTTATTGCGGGTTGGTATCTGCCACTTCCTGAACCGTGGTCTTGAATGTAGTCTGAGCCTTGCGACTACTCATCAGTGCGCTTGCTTGCTCTTTCCAACCCACTTCAGAATTGTCAAACGCGGCTCTTTGAGCGGCAGTTGGAAGGAGGCAGTCTCCTGGGCCACACCGCTGTACCTCAAGACGTGGGTCAGGCTGACGCACCACATTCATTATCCTCCTCCCCCACTGCCATGGCCGATGGAAGCTCGCCATCCCCTTTTGGCAGTGTCGCTAGCATGCACACTCCATCATTTGCCTTTGATCTTGCAAGCCTGCAAAGTGTATGTATGATTGCAAACACACCGTCTCTAATGGTAGTCTGGAGCATTCCTCCGTATACTCCGAGGGTACATGCGACCTGAATACTTTGAATGCGTTTAGGTGTACAACGCACTGGGTGCCGATGGGTTTCGGATTGCCGCCCAGCACGTCGTGGTGGGAAGTCAGATCGTTGCAGCCGGCTCGCAAGTACGTCAAAAGCAGCGCTTCTTGAGCCAGATTCACCCCCTCAAACATCGTCTCACTTCTCTGGCATGGGCGCAGACACAGCTGGTCAACGCTGTCCTGCTTCAAATGATGACGTTACTGCCAAAGCATTGCATCACGGTTACGCTCAACGCTAGCACGTACCAGCCACCCTTTACCGGAAACTTTTTGGTTTGTATCCACACATTGTCGTCTAACACCTGACACACAGCATCGGGTGCCCGATTTGACCTTGTGGTTGCTGCTTTTTGCAGGGTCTTGCGGCGAATGTCGACATTCCAGAGCAGTTGGATATGGAGACGACACTTTGCATTCGCTTTGACGAGCCACAGCCCGACGACAGCTTTGTCAGCCGTAAGCAACCCCTGCCCCCTGCCTCCTCCTTCTCCCCTTGAACTGAGTGTATTTGTTCTCGGAATCGGTCCACATGATCAGTGTGATACAGACGCGCTGTGGGATTGGGACAGAGCGTCAGTTGACTTGATACCATGGCCTTGCTATCATTGCTTTTAGGCCTTTCTGAGGAAGATAGCTGTGAAGCCCTTCCAATTAGTGTCACGGTTCTGGGGGATGCACCGGTCCCACGGCACACGCTGAGCATCGTTCAAGAGGTGATGCACATGTTGTCACAGTCTATATCTGAGGTTCGGACCCATGCCGTAGCCAATTGTAGAACGTGTACCCTGAGTGCACTGAGCAAACTTGCTGTTCCATGCACGATCCCACCCAGGAGGCGCAAGAGCAATGGCTAGTTGTCATTCGTGAGAAGTGGACTCGCTTGGCGCGCCTCTACTTTGCCTTGTCGCGAATGCCCAACCGAAAAGGCTCGGATGAAGACATTGCTCAGGCAAGACCGATCGATTCTGCTTTGCTTTCTCCACCGCCCCCCCCCCCCCCCCC